TAAAACTTTTAAAAAAATAACAGATTCATCAGCGAAAGTATTTATCATTTCCGCCGATCCAGGTATGGGCAAATCAACGACATTGACACATTTAGCAGTGAAAACTAAACAACATGATCCATCCTTATGGATTTCACGAATTAATTTAATAAATTATGCAACCGAATTACAGCAAGAAGTAGAAAAGAGTAACAAATTCACAGAATTAGATGTTGTTAAATTTTTATATAAAACTGCCAGTTTCAAACTTTTCCAAAAACAAAATAAGGATAAAGGCGTAAGAAATTCGATTATCGAATATATACAAAACAATTTAATTGTAGAAAACGGAAAATTAATTCTAAAAGCATCTGAAAAAGAAATTAATGAGTCGGATTTGTTAGAAATAAATCTATTTAATCATTGCTACAACAACGAAAAAATGATTTTACTATTTGACGGATTCGATGAGATTAGTCCACACTACAAAGATAAAGTTCTGGAAATGTTTTTTATTTTGAAAATGAGCGAAATACAGAAACTATGGATAACTACCCGTCCTTACAACATAATCAAAATCGAGTTGGAAAACAAACTTGAAGTTTCTTCGCACTCACTAGAGCCACTATCTCCTGAACAACAAATCAATTTCTTACAAAAATTCTGGAAACAAAGTTGTAAAATTAAGGAATGGAATGATGAGCGATCAGAAAATATAATTTCTAAAATGTTACAAGTGATAGATAAAACCCCTTATAGTTCTGATTCGGTGATGAGCATTCCACTGCAAGCACTCATGGTGGCAAATATTTTAAAGAGTGATTTCGAAAATTATTATACATTGGGTAACAACAATGAATTCATATGGAGCGGTCTGGATTTAGATATGTTATATGAAAAGTTTGTCAAAATAAAATATTTTGAGATTGAGAGCGAAGAGAAACGGAATATTAACATTGCTGATCCATATCATAAGCTCAAAGAAGACAAAAACTATCGATGCGTTCTAGAAAACCATGAATTATTAGCGTTATTTTCATTGTTTGGAAAAGACGTGCTTGTAAAAATATTAAATCAAAAAGAATTGGAAAACGTTCGAGTTTTAATGGAGGAAAATGAGCAGGCTATTGAAAAATTAGGAATTATTGTTGGAAATGTTGACAGAAAGCCAAAATTTATCCACCGAACCTACGCTGAATATTTCGTCTCTTGTTATTTTTGGAATAAATTCAAATCCATTAGCATTGATGACTTCGAAAAATGTTTTGTAGTAGATATTTTATACGGTGTCATTGATAAATTTCCCAATACACAAGTGATGAATTTTTTAAAATTAAAAGCAAAGAACACCGAAAATGATATGACCACTTTTGACAAAGGGATTAAAATTCAAATGTTATTAAAAAATATTGCCAGATTCTATCACAAGATTTTCGATTTAATATTGGAATTTGTGGCTGATTTAATGGCTGATGAAAAAGAGGCACCTGAAATTGTAAATATGATTCCTGATCAAAATCATCAATACGAAATATTACGTGCTAGTATAAAAATTGGGCATCAAAAACTTTCTTATGCCCTAGTGGATAAAATGGACGTAGAACACTTAACAAGTAATATAAGAAGTACCGAGAAATATAGTCAAAACCCTTTGTTTTTAGCAATTGATAATGGGCACTATGATATCGCACAATATATGATTAAGAAAATGTTGTTTGATGAAAATTGGAGACAAAAAAGGTTTAATCCAATCAAGAAAAATATAATTGAAAACAATTTAATGAACTATCTAGAAATTGGTTTGAAGTTTAATTTGATTGACGGTAAACCATTCTGGAATGATGGCCATGGATATCGTTTACCGATAATTGAAATAGTTAAAAAACCTGTGCCACCTGATATAGCTTGTCTGCTGATAGAACAGACTGATATCGAAGATTTAATTTCGGCAAAGGATAGTGACAAACTTTTATCGTACTTGCTCGTGAACAATAAAATGATAACAATGAAATTAATTGAAAAGGGTTTTGATTTCAATATAAGTTTGAACGCACTTTTTATGAACTATTTGAAAGATTTTGAAACCAATGAACGTTATTTTTCTAATAATGTCTGGATACCGCAATTTGTTTTCTATAATTACCCTTTTAAAAATAAAAAAAAAGATTATGTTTGCAATTTATATGATAGGGTCGTACTCATTCTTAAAGGTGGTTCGGGATATAACTCTTGTATTGATGGTTCTATGACAGTTCAGAATGCTGAAAAGCTCTATTATAGAACAAATTTTCTAAGAAAAATATACGAATTCCATAAGAAAGGTATTGAAGAAGGGATCGATCCACTGGAAGTGAGACTTCAACTGATCGCTGGAGTTCTTAGCAAATTAAACTGCCATCAATATAAAATTAAAAATACAAACAACAGTAATTCACAAATAATACCTGAAACAAGTCTGATACATCGTATTCATGATCTAGTTATGGAAAAAGGAATAGAACTGGAAGGTGCATTCATACAAGTGTTAAAAGAACATTTGGGATTAAGATATCAAATGGAAGAACTACTTAAAACTAATGGGTTGTTTGACCAAGATAAATTGTTGGGTGTGCTAAATATAGAAGGCACAGATATAGATGTTGAACTCCAAGAATATATACTTGGAATTGTTGAACATAGTAATGAAAACTTAATATACCTTTGGTCAAGATTTATCAAAATAGCTGAAAATAAAATTGAAGCTCCGTTTTTAGAATCATTGTTCGTATTTTTCGACAACTGTTCACAAATTTACAAGTTATTGAAACAGCTTAACAAATACTTTGTTGAACTAATGGAAGCAGTTATAGATAGAAAACACCAGAATGTGAAAAGCATTTTACAACAAATAGATACTGATTTTGTGAAAGCAGTTATTAATGGTCACGATGTTGACTACGGTTCTCCATTACATTACGCAGCATTCAAAGGAGACACGGAAATGACTAAAATTCTTTTGAATTTTGGAGCCAACGCTAACCTTGTATTAAAATCAGTAAAATCAGTAAAATCATCACTTTATTTTTTAGTTCTTTATCACGCTTTTGTGGCCAAAAAAGAACATTTTTATTCTCCACTACAAGCAGCAGCAGAAAACGGCCACTATGAGATTGTTCAGATTTTGATAGACAATGGTGCCAAAGCTAAAGTACCTTGGATAGACTCAATGTTACTTCTAGAGTCATGTAAAAAAGGCTATACAAAGATTGTTAAAGTTCTCTTAATGAATCCCGCAGATTTTGATGTAGTCGATAAAAGAAAACGTACAGCATTACATCATGCAGCCATTAATAACCACATAAAAATTGTACAATTATTAATAGAAAATGGAGCCAATGTTAATGTATTTGATAAGTTGCAATGGTCACCATTCGATTATGCTTTTTTAAATGGTCACAATGAAATTGTGCAATTTTTATTAAGCAATGGTGCATATGATAAGAGTCAGCTTTTACATGCACCCAATCAAAGTCGTATTAAAATTCTCGAGCTTTTGTTTCCGAGAATCATTGGCCCCTTAAACGAAGAAATATCAACTCCATTGCATTACGCAGCTGAATTAGGTGACAAGGAACTCACTGAGTTATTGTTGGAGGAAAGTAAAACTAAAGTGGATGCTGTTAACATTGATGAAGAAACACCTCTGCACTTGGCAGCTCAAAAAGGACATTGTGAAGTTGTTCAGATTTTGATAAATGCTGGTGCCAATGTTAATGCTACAAATACCAACAATAGCACTGCACTACACTTTGCTGCACACAATGGCCACAAGGAAACAGTTGAATGTTTAATAAAAAACAAAGCTATAGTCGATGTTTTTGACGTATTTAATAACACACCACTTCGTCTGGCAAAAATCAATAATCACAAAGAAGTAGTTGAAGTTTTATTAAAGAATGATGCAAGAGACAGTGATACATCTGGCACTGAAGACAGTGATGAATGACTGGTATCATTTAAATTGTTAATAATTAAAATTAACAATGCCTATTATTCTTATTTTTATATCTATAAAGCTGGGTCGATAGAAATAATAATTATAAGAATTAAAATATAAAACTAATTTATAACTAGTTGATATTGGTATTTTGTCTTGAGGCAAGTTACATGAACTTCCCGATACGTGCAAATAATCAATAAAAAATAAATTAATTTATGAGTGATTAAAAGTATTCCGAGTAGATTTATTTACACATTTTAGTTTAGTATGTTCATTAAGACCTAGTACTCTGTCATTATACCAACTAAATCGTCTAATTTTAATTTTAACAAACGTCAAAAAAAACTGTTCATTTTTTATGAATTTTTAAAATTAAACTACTTGTCGCAAGGCCGTAATATTTCTGTAGGTTCTATTCTATAAGATCATGATATATATCGCTAAAAAAAGTTCCATAGCAATCGGCTTAAATTTTTTTTCAACAGTTAATTACAAGAACATTAACGCGTCGGTAGATTTTCACCTAAAATTAATCAGTATCATTCCCAAGTAATAACTTTCGAACAGTTTTTGAATAACTAAAATCGATTCAGTAGTATGAGCTTAAATCTGGACGAAAAGTTTAACACTTTCTTCCAAATTACAAAGAAACGGCTTGGCAGATCGTCGCACAAAACTGACAAACGATAGTCCTCATCGAGATACATCGAATGGCTTTTAAATTTTTGAAATCTTTCCAGCCGTTTTTGAGAAAATGTCGATTCACGACAAAAACTCTGTTCACATACACACACATACTTTTTCCAAATTTGGCCTCATTCGATTCAGAAAGGCTTGAAACGTCGAGAAAACATAAAATTAGTAATTAGTAAATTAATCATATTTTTTGATGAAAACATAAACTTCTCCTTCGGAAAGTTAAAAAATATAAATAATAACATAGAAAGATTTTGAATGCATCACTTAAACTCATATTATTATCCCATATTCGCATATTTTCTATTACTTATCGAATAATGCATAAACTGTATCTAATACCTACTTTTTAAAAAAACTAAATCTAAATCTCCTGTCGGTTTAGCCTTTTCCATCTCCTGTTTAAGTTCCTCCATATTCAGCAAAGACGTGAAACAAGTCTTCAGCTCATCTTTGGCGGCCTAAATATAAAATTATAAATTTATAAAATAATCGACATATCCAATTGAAAATAAAACTAGTGGTGCACGGCATCGTGCCTTAAGGCAAATTGCTGGAATTTCACGTATCGTAACAAAATGTTCAAAGACTATTAAATGTTTTCAAATAGATTTTTATAAATATTGTAAAATTGTCTAATATTTATAGGAAATATATAAACTGAATTACAAAGTTAAAATTATTTAAAGTATATAAGTGAACTTTTGAATATTAACCAGAATTATAACTAGTGGGGTGTATGGCATCGTGCCTTGAGGCAAATTGCTGGAACTTCCGTACCGTAACGGAATGTTCGAGGAAAACTGAATGTTTTCAAATAGATTATTAATAATATTGTATCATTATCTAAAATTTATAAGAATTATATAAACTTAGAATTAGATTATAGAAACTAAGAATAAATTATATAAACTTAGAATAAATTGCAAAGTTGAAATTATTTGTTTAAAGTATATTAGAACTATAGTTAGAAATAAAAATTATATGTGAATTATTTTTGATATACAAAAAAAAATTTTTGAAAAAAAAACAAATTTTTTTTTTCTAAAATTAATTATTTTGTTAAAACAAGCAGAAAGTTCTTTGAATCATTTAAATCGGACGCTTAGTTCTCTCAAAAACTGCCATTTTTTGCACATTTAGCTCCGTATCTTCGAAATTGCTATGCCTGCCTTTGCCAAAAACTAATAAACACATCTCCCAATCATTACTAATTGAATGTTTTTTAGATCGTTCGAATCGGATACTCCGTTCTCTCAAAAAGTCGATTTCTATTTTCTGCACTCTTTGCTCCGTATCTCCGAAACGGCTGGACCTGCCTTTGCCAAAAACTAATCAGCTCTTCTCCCTATCAATAGGAATCGAATGTTTTTTGAATCATTCAAATCGGTTGATCCGTGCGCCCGAAAACGTGACTGGAAATTTGTATCCATATATACATACACACACACACATACACACACACACACATCCATTTTTTCTGAGGTATGCCAAAATGTTCAGAAACCTTCAAAACGTCGAAAAATGTAAAAATTTTCAATTTCGATTTTCGGCCCATTACAGGGTCCGGCACTCGAAGTGTAACCAATTTCAAACAGCTCGCGTAGCTGATGCACGTGTACCAACTGTCAGTAAGTTAGCTAAATGACAGTTTAGTCTATTGTTTATAAGCGTACGAAAGTATTTAGTCGACAGTGAACGCGAAAAAAAGAAATCAGTAATGGATTTCAAAAGTAACAGTGTGATTACATTATATTTAGCTGGAAAATCACAACCAGCGATTGTTCGAGGGCTCAAACACCTTAAAGTGAATAAAGTTTTCGCTTATCGCACCATAACTCGTTACAATGAAACTGGTAGCATCGCAAAACGTCATGGAGGTGGTCACCAAAAGACTGCAATGTCACATGAGATGGTCAAAAAAGTGAGAAAGCGACTCGAGCGAAATCCCCGACGAAGTGCCAATTAAATGGCAAAAGAACTTAATACATCTGACCGTAGCATCCGCCGCATACTGAAAAATGATCTCAAGGTCAAGCCTTATAAGATCCAAAAGGCACATGATTTTACGTCGAAGCAGCAGCAAGTGAGACTTCAGAGAGCTAAGGAGTTGCTTCGCCTGGCCGAGAGTGGTAAATTTCCGATCATTGTGTTTTCCGACGAGAAAATTTTCATAATTAAGCAATTCGCACACTCTCAAAACGATAGGGTTTACTTGACTGAACGTTCAGACAAGAATTTGAGCCATCGACTGGCCACCAGGAGGCAACACCAGCCACAGATAATGGTTTGGGCCGCTGTAACCGCAGATGGGCGATCTCCAATCGTTTTCATCGAGCCTGGCGTCAAGGTAAATGTGCTATATCATCGGGAAAGTATTCTGAAGGTTGCTTTGAAGCCATGGGCAGATCAACATTTCGGTGGCAGACCATGGACGTTTCAACAGGACTCGGCACCGTATCATAAAGCTCGAGTGAACCAAGAATGGATGAAAAACACCGTTCCGAACTTCAAAACGTCCGCACAATGGATCTCCAATTCACCACACGCGAATCCTATGCATTTTTCTCTTTGGGCCATTTCGGAGAGCAAGGTCCGAACTAAAATTAAAGGGTGCATCAGTCTCGAGGCGCTAAAAAAAGCCGTTGTCCGCCAGTGGGCCAAAATACCTGCAAATCACGTTCGGCCAAATGCGATTTGTTTTTGGACCGTCTAATGGCCATAGTCAAAGCAAAAGGTGGTCATGTCGAGCAAAAGTGAATTGTTCTTAAATTTTGTATTATTTTTACACATTTTGTACTTTGAATCGAGTAAAATTGATTTTCCAAACTGAATTTATGGCTCTTTCAATTGGTTACACTTCGAGTGCCAGACCCTGTACAATAACTTACCCAACGGGAAGTTAATAAAACCTGATTTATTTTCAATATGTAAAAAAAAACTTTTTGAAAAAAAAATTGATTTTTTAGTCAAAAGCAATTGTTTTGTCAACACAAGCAGAAAGTTTTTTGAATCATTGAAATTGGATGCTTAGTTACTCAAAAACTGCCATTTTTTGTACATTTGCCTTTGCCAAAAACTAATAAGCACATCTCCATATCAATAGGAATCGAATGTTTTTTGAACCATTGAAATCGGTTGATCCGTGCGCTCAAAAACGTTGACAAAAAATGCGGGCACACAAAACACACACACATACATTTTTTCCAAGGTATGCCAAAATGTTCAGAAACCTCTTAAACGTGAAGATATGGAAAAATTTTCATTTTCGATTTTCGGGCCATTACTATAACTTACCCTACGGAAAATTTAAAAATTATACTTACAAAAGCTTTATCGTAAGCATCGTCGCTTCCACTTTCCTTTCTGCATTTTTCTCTGGCCAGTTTTTCTGCTTCCTCTGTCGAAGGAAGTGCTGAAATGTTCAATTTTCCGACCAGATCTTCTGGTAATTTGTCAACAACCTCCTGCAGATTAATCTCATCTTCTGCTTGTACACAAAGCACTCCACCTGGTAATGGTAAAATGATTAGAAACAGTTCATTTCACTTATATAATATATATAATAATATTAATAAATTTATGAATAATAAAATTCCACTGAAGCCAATAAGAAAATCTAGGATGGCCATTTAACGAGGTTGCCTTTAGAAAGTTCATTTTAATACTTTTGACTTTTACTTTAAATCGATTTAATCATTTACCATTGCTTGCTTGTCTAAGCACAATATGAATAATTTTCAAATTTTTTCCTTATTATCGTATGGATTGCTGAATTGCTGATTTGACACAGTCAAACGGTCACCAAGGCCGATGCACTCATTCTATTAATATAATATCATAAAACATTACGAATCATCCTCCTCACATAAGACACGTGCCTTCATTATCATTTATTTCGTTTAATAAATAATTATTTAATGATGTTATTAAATGTACACAACTCGTCTTCAAGATTTTTTCTGTTACATTCGCCCTTGAAAAGTAGCATTTGGAAATCTGTTTTTTTTAGTAAAGATCTTTTAAAATCATAGGAAAGTGGTTTGATTACAAAAATTCATTAAAGTTTGAAATGGGCCGTGCCAAAATTTCAAAATTCGATCACCATGAAAGCAGAAAAATTTCAATACTTATTGAATAAGTCGATTATTTACACCAGGAAAATTTTTATAATTTCCCTTAAGGAAAAATACCACTTACACCTAGTTTCTCAAAAAGTCTTGAATTTTAAATATTTCAAATTGCTTATAAAATTAGAACAAAAATATATCAACTAAATTTTCAACTCAATTGTTATGTCAACAATATATATAATAATTTAAATATAACAATTATTATATTTAAATTATTTTTATTATATAAATATATATTTATATGAATAGAGAAATATTGCTAGTTTTTATTACATTATATTCAGTCGAGATAAACATAATTGTTTGACTTTTTTTTAGTCTAGGAGGCTTCATGTCCTCAACTTTAGTTTTTGATTTAAAATTTCTAGTTGTGTTTATTTTTCTTATTCAAGTTTTGAGAACAATTTTTTAACTGATAATGACACACGTCAATAAATAATGTTTTCTTTAAACTCGACGTCGAAAAAACTATATATATATATATATATATATATATATATATATATATATATATAATGAATATAAATATATATAATCTCATTTCACACTATTTTTTATTGATGTAACGCCTAACTTTTCAAATAAAATATATTATATCAACATCAAATTCAAATCTATTCAAACATGTATATATATTATATATAATTATATTATATTATATTATATCATATTATATTATATCATATTATATATACCTAATAAATATTTATATTGTATAAAATATTCATGTATAATGCTGCTCTAATTGTTTACATAAAACTAAAAATAAATGTATAATGTGACTCCTGTATCTAACAAGAAATTGTTTATGTATAATGAGTAATATAGAATTTAAATATATTTGCATATTTTTACAAAACTGTTTTAAACACAATTTTACAGCAAACTCTGACCATGATTTCCTGATGACGTACAAAGCAAAAACTTATTTATTGTTAAAAACTAATCAGCAAGAAATAAATAAATAGTTTTTTTTATAACTGCCATCAGTCGCGGTGTCTAGATTTGAAATATAAAAAACTAGACCTTAGACATTGAATTGAAGAATTAATAAATATGCTTTTCATCGCATAAATTTACATAAACACACTGCTGATTTGAAAATAATAAAAAAAATGAAATTAATTAACGCCTCGTTTTTGACATAACCTTAAAATAATTTCATATCAAATATTTACTTCAAAATTTATTGTTAATAAAACGATTATAAATTATCAAATATATACTTAAGATTATGCATTCGGCATAATAATCGATAATTCATGTTTTAATTGGTATTTTAATATAATTTTTATTACTTGAAAAAACATGGCCGTTATCGTTTAGTAGTTAACTATCAGTTTTGTTGTGAATGTAACTAAAGCTGCTAATAAGCGTAATTAAATTGATTGTAACTTAATATGCAATTTCTATAAATTGTAATAGTTATATAATAGTTATAAATGTACTTACATTACGCGTTTCAAATTATATACATCTATCTAATCAAAAAAACAAACTAGAAAATCCGCCATTTAGCCACCATTACAACACGATTAGATCTAACGCATTATACATAACCTTTACTTAAAAATTATTATTAATAAAATAATAAAAAATATTGTTTTTTAAACAAAATGCAATTTAAGTTAATAGTTATGATTTAGATTTAGATTTAGCCGAAAATTCAAGTCATAATTAGTGTTTTAAAATATTTTTTATTATTTAAAAAACATGGACGTTATCGTTTAGTAGCAAACTATCAGTTGCATTGTAAATATTACTAATGCTGCTAATAAGTGTAATTAAAATTAATGTTACAACTAAATATGCAATTTATATAAATAATAACAGTTTTATATGTACTTACATTAAGTATTTTAAACACAACATGTATATTATCACTAAAAGAAAATACACGATTCGCCATTAAGCAAATGGAAAACGCAACCACCTTATTGCTAGTGACGTCACGACCACAGCTACCAAC